GGAAAGAGTTAAGATAGGAGTACAATTGACACTGTCTAAAAAAGTCATAACACAGGCTTGTCAAACATGTCTTCTGGTTCAGAGGAAGTAGAGATCATTCTAGATCCAGGGAAGGCTTCCTTGAATGAAGAGATTTCAAGGTGGTTCTTAAAAGATGATTAAGACTTACTTATGTAGAAAGGAGAAAGGGACATTTCATAAGAAGAGAACAGTATGACAAGGAAGGGGTCTAAAACTAATTCAGATGAGCTGGTGAGTGGCAGGCAGGGTGAAATCTCAGCCAGAGGGTAGGTGCTGCCAGGAGAAGTACAGCAGGTCCTTAGACTTTGTCTTCTCTGTTGTAATTCTTTAAGTCCTCTAAGTTAAGTGGCTGCTGTGTGCTAGGCAGTGGGAATGTGCAGATAAAACCAGCAATCATCTGACCATCTTACAGACTCCCTCCCCTCAGAAAAGGGCAATAATGAACAAATAAACAAAAACACAGGACTTTGTGGTATGAGGGGAAGGCAGTGCAAAAGAATTAGAAGCAAATAAATGTGCCAGGGAGTTCCACATGGAGCAGTCAGGGAAGGCCATCTTGAGGAGGAGCCATTTCAACAGAAATTTGAATGAAATAATTAAGCATGGAAAATGACCAGGACCCCACTGTCTCAGAGGGTAACGTCTGGCTATCCATAGCTACTGACCACAGGAAATGTGGAAAGTCTAAATTGAGATATGCAATACATATAAAATATGCACTAAATTTCAAGGGGTGGCATTGAAGCCATGTAAACCGCCTACTATAAAATAGTATTTTGAAAGTACTCAGTTGAATTAAAATATTATCAAAATTAAACATACTTTTCAAAAACTTTTTGAATGTGGTTACTAGAAATTTAAAGTTACATATGTGACCCATGTGGTCCTGCCACTGGGACAGCACTAAGGTAGGAGAAAAACATTCTAGGTGGAGAAAACAGCCAGTGCAAAGTTCCTATGGTAGGAAGCTATCCTAATGGCAATATAAAGCTATTAAAAGCTTTTTATTGAATCACATATATCTTTACAGTGTATTATATTTCTTTTTCCAGAAGGAATACCTTGTATATCAGTCAAGACGACGACATTACTATCCACATCACCAATATCAAATAGCTTTTCATCATTTTTTCCAGATTATTATTATTATGATTATTATTATTCTCATTATTTTTAAACATTCAATCACTATATATCATTTTGCTTGTAAAAAGAATTTACCCAACATGAAATACTCCTCAGACCGGTCCAGTTGAGAATACTATACATGTTATCATCAGCAGATAATAAACCATTTCTGTGTCCCACTAATGTCATGCCTCTCTATTTGTTCTCTTGCTTCCCTTCCTTATACTCTTCCTTTCTCCAACCCCATTCCATATTGTCTTCAGTGAACCATAACTATATTCACTGCTTTGATGCCCTATAATATTTGAAAGCGTTTACAAATAGCAATTTGTGAGATCTAGACCTCAAGGAAAACAATCACAACAAATAAATAAAAGTCTGCAGAATGGATTAAAGAAAGAGAGTAAGGATTCAAGAGACCAGTCACTCTCCAAGGGTCAATGCCAGGGGAGCTAAGGGTCTTCTCTATGGTACTCTGAAGGATGGGCAGGGATGGACAAGCTTTGGGGACTGCCAAAATCATGTATTATATTTCTTTTTCCAGAAGGAATACCTTGTATATCAGTCAAGACGACGACATTACTATCCACATCACCAATATCAAATAGCTTTTCATCATTTTTTCCAGATTATTATTATTATGATTATTATTATTCTCATTATTTTTAAACATTCAATCACTATATATCATTTTGCTTGTAAAAAGAATTTACCCAACATGAAATACTCCTCAGACCGGTCCAGTTGAGAATACTATACATGTTATCATCAGCAGATAATAAACCATTTCTGTGTCCCACTAATGTCATGCCTCTCTATTTGTTCTCTTGCTTCCCTTCCTTATACTCTTCCTTTCTCCAACCCCATTCCATATTGTCTTCAGTGAACCATAACTATATTCACTGCTTTGATGCCCTATAATATTTGAAAGCGTTTACAAATAGCAATTTGTGAGATCTAGACCTCAAGGAAAACAATCACAACAAATAAATAAAAGTCTGCAGAATGGATTAAAGAAAGAGAGTAAGGATTCAAGAGACCAGTCACTCTCCAAGGGTCAATGCCAGGGGAGCTAAGGGTCTTCTCTATGGTACTCTGAAGGATGGGCAGGGATGGACAAGCTTTGGGGACTGCCAAAATCATGTGCACGGAAAAGGAAAGAGTCAAGGTGGCTGTGATTTTTGTCCCAGGGCCAGCCTGATTGGAAGACCTATCCCCAAGAGGGACACTGAGAGGAGGAGAAGAAGGAAGACTATGAGGAGGGAGTGGGGAAAGGGAGCATTTTGGGATAGGGAATTAGTGTCCATTACATATTAAGCAGACTTAACTGCAGGACTCCAACTGGCTAGACTTGTCTTGAGTTTCTGACTTCGTCTTACCCTAAGTCTGTTTCTTGGCTGTTAGGTTCTACTACATAGGCTCAAATGTGAAACTGAAGCCTGTGTAGGGGAAAAACAAAAGAGATCATCATGAATAAGATTAGCAACCACCTGGTTTGTGTTAATATTTCACAAAAGAAACTGTTGCATTAACTGATGCTTTACATTTCTCTCTCCCTTTCTTTCTTATTTTCTCTCTTGTTTTTGTTTTTGTTTCTGTCTTTTTGTTTTTGTTTTTTAATCCTCTAAGCCACACTACATGACTGGATATAAACGTCTCAAATCCACTTAGAAAGTTCTTTCTCTTGAGAAGCCATAAATAAATAAACAAACAAACAAATAAATAAATAAAAAACAAAAAAACAATATCTTCCTGAGACTGAAAGGGCAGGGTAACTGCAATAAAACTGAACGTGGAAACCAACTACTGAGGCAGCCTCCACAACTCACTAGTGAGTGGGTATAATAGTTTTTTAAGATTGTGAAAACTAGTTTCAGAAAGGTTTAATAACTTCTTCAATCTCACAAAGCCAGAAGGTCACAGGACAATGAGTTTAAGCAGGTCTGCCTAACCTGAAGTCCCCATTAGCAGCCAAAAGTCCCAGATGGGACAAGACACCATTGACTCCCAGACAGTGCCTTATCACAGTGGATTAGTTGGTCCCTGTGGCTTCTTGAGTCTGAAAGGTATTTAACTTCTTTTTGTGAAATAAACTAAACAGGGCCCACCATGGGAAGTTCTGGGAAGGAAACAGTTTTTCAGAAGCAGTCTTTTCACAAGCTATGAGCTAACCCCAAGCACATACCTCCACACAAGGTTCCCAGCTTTCGGGTTTCAGGCAGGAGAGGAAGGCCATGGCTGGGATCAGAGTCCCAGCCAGGCGCAAAGGAGGCATCATCCTGGCATTGTCTGGGACCAGCAGTGGCCTTGTGCGAACATGACAGGCTGGAACTGCCTGACCAAGCAGTCTCTGAGGCACGGGTATCTTCTCTTTCCTATCAGTGCCCCAGCAATGAATGTGTTCTGAGTTGTTCTGGGTTAAGGGGTAAGAGGAAGTGAGAGTGGCAAGCTTAGCATTTTGAGCTTTTTTTTCTCTCAGGCACTCCCCGTCACAGGAGGGGAAGTTAGAAGAAGAAAAACATCCACGGACCAGTGACTGGAGTAATACCAAGAGGAAGCTGGCTTTTATCCCAGAAAGTCATTTGACCTCTGGGCTTGGTGAGTTTTAGAAGACAACCAGTCTGTTTTCAGACCTTTTGCATAACCACCTAGGAAAGGCAGGGGTTTTCCAATTTAGTTTCAGTAGTGGAAACTTAGTTCGCATTAGTTTGCTAGAACTGCCCTAACAAACTGCCATGGAGTAGTATAAACAGCAGAAACCTTTTTTCTCACAATTCCAGAGACTGGAAGTCAAAGATCAAAGTGTCAGCAAGTGTGTCTGTGTCCTAATCTCTTCTTATAAGGACACCAGTTACGTTAGGGCCTACCCGCATCACCTTACTTCACTGTCATTACCTCTGCAGCGTCTCTCACTCCAAAGACAGTCATAAACTGAGATACTCAGGGTTAGGACTTAACATGAACTTTGAGAGCATCAGGAGAGAATGCCCCCTAACACTTTCCCCATCATACTTCTTCTTTTGATGAAACTTATATGTATGAATTGATTACATATAAAACTCCACTGAACCGTTTGGAAAGTATGGGAAGATGGGGGGAAGTTGGGAATTCAGAAGTAAATACTCTGAAGTTCAAATCCAGGATGAGTAACGTAGGGCCATGTGTCTTGGCCAAATCACTTAAATTACCTAGACTTCACTTCTGGAATAATAGTTTCTAATCATAAAAGAACTTCACATTTAGTAAATTCATAAAAATGAAATTATGGGATGGTGGTCAATTACAAAAACCTACCAAGCCTTAGTTTTTGAGTCTTTAAAATGAAGATAATCACATTGGTCTTACATGACTCAGGTAAGCTAACTTATATAAAATGCTAGCCGAGCGCATGGTTTGTCACTGCATGCCATAGCAGTAACTATGATGATGATTTAAAATGTGTATCAAATGGGGATATTAATGTGTACCTAAAAGAATTGTTATGATATTAAATGAACTGCCATTTGTAAAACTTTTAGGACAGTGTCTGGGAAGTAACAAGCATGATGTAAGTTTATGTTAATTAAGAGCTTGATTTGGAGACAGCTGGTGGCAGGGTGGTTAAGGTGGCTGGATTCCACATGGTCAACCACATGGTTTGAGTCCCTGACCCTCCATCTTGAAAAATGCACCAGGTGCCTGTGCCTATGTGCCTAAAATTCCAAAAGGAGAAATGGATTGCGGTGTGACCATCTCCCATCAGGGACTGCTTTCTCACTTTCCTCTGTCTCTCTCTGCCTCTCTCAGGAGAATGCACATAACCTCTAGCAAATAAATAAATAATAAACTTATAAAGAAATTAGTTTTAAATAGGGATATTACTGGTACTGATTTCTAGAGCATTCTACTGAGATGTCTTCCAGGCACTTCAAATCCAACACAGTTAAGACCAAGCTGCAAGAGAATATATTGCAGTGGACTGAGCACAACTCATATTCTTTATCAATATACCTGTGCAATTAAGCCAAAACTAGCCCCCATGTTGGCATGCTTTTTGGATTTATTGAGACTATCTATCAACACATAAAAATCTTAGAACAGGGCCTGGCTTAAAGTAGGTGCTTAATAAAATTTAGTTCCCTGGAAAGGTATTAGCATTTCACTGTCAGAGTCATCCCAGATGGAAATCTCTTTCACTTTACTTGTCTCCCATTAAACATGTACTCACTCTATTTTCCCATTTTCTTTATTGTTGAGGTTCTAACATCTACAGGCTCACTGACTGGGAAGAGACTGCCACTCCCAGGGCTAGCAAACTTTTACAGATAGCAAATGATGGCCCTAGACCAAACCTTCCCTCTGTAGACTAGCCTATTTAGAGTCCACACTCGGAATCACCTCCTCTGTCTGGCTTCCTATACCCACAGAGGCCATGTTGTTCTGCCCTAATTAACACAGGCCAGGTGCCAGACAACTAGACACAGCCCTGTATTCTAGAATCCACTAATGTTTTTTCAGACTAGCCAATTCTAGGTCTGCTCATCTGGCCTTGCCTTGCCTTCACTGCAGAAGTCACAGTAAAGCTCCTGTCATTGCTTTCCCCCTTGCTCTAGGCCTTCTGGTTGACCTCAGTGCTTTCCCTTGTGACCTTGCATGGTGTGGCAAGCCCCCTCTGCTTGGAAAATTGTGCAACAAATTATCTTTTCAATAGCACTTCTTTCCTGGACTTCTGGCTTCACCATACCAAAACAGAAATAAAAGCTTCATTTAAATGACGTTTGGGCCAGCCCCATAGTGCAGTGGTTAATGCTGTTCACAGAAAGCTGGATCTCACATGGTGAACTGTGCTTCAAATCACTGCCCTCGTGGCTTTAAAACACACGGCATATTATGCATGACTGTCCCCAATTCTGAAGGGATGGAGAAGTGAAAGAAAAGGGATTGTGGCATGACCATGCCCCATGGGGGTGGGAGGGGGAAGAATTCTCTCTGTCTGTCTCTCTCTCTCTCTTTAAATAAACATTTTCTAAAAACTGACAATTTTAGGTTAATCTACTGGCTGTATCAGTCTTTAGATTTCAGTGACTTAACACAATAAAAGTTTATTTCTTGCTCATGAAATGATCAATCAATTATTTCTGATTGAATTCCAGAGAATATCCATAGATTCAGGCTCCTTTTATATCATTATGCCATAATATTTACCATGAAGCCTCTAAGTTTGCTGCAGATAATGGAAAGAGGAGGGACAAGTACTCCGAAACTTAGTTACTCTACTGTGTCATTCGGACATGCATCTCCTCTGTCATTCTACTGGCAAGATTTGGTCCAAAAACCACATCAGATTATAAGGACTCTTTATCTCCTAAGCTTCAAGCTTCCCACTGCCACCACATATCTGCACTCACACACACATGCATACACAGACAGTCACTGGTGGGCTCCACTTCACAGACCTGATTCTGTGCTATGGAAGGGAAATATAAAACGTTGTCAATTGGTGGCATATCTGCATCACAACTTTACATACTGTGGTTTATCTTTCATGGTGATAATAAGAACATAATAAGAGGGAGCATTCCCAGAATGGCTTGGCTCAGAGAAGAAAGGCCTCCTTAGCATGGCATATCTCAGAACCAAATCTGATACCATTCAATTATCTAAAATTTCTAAGTTCTACAGCTCTGTTATCAGAATTTGTTCCCTAATTGAGAATGTATTACAGTTATAATTCACAGGGTTTTTTTTTTCTTTCTTAATGGAAAATAAATCAATGGTACATCCTATAATCAATGATTTATTTTATTCATTGAAGAATGACTTGCCTTCAAAGGGGAAAAATAGACTCTGTTCAAGTAAAGAAAGAAAATAAATGACTAAACAGAGAAAAAGAGCTTTGTTTCCTAAGACCACGTTAGAAACATTTGTGATTTTGCATCTACAGAAAGAGATAGAGTACTCAGTGTTCCTCAGCGTTTTTTGACCCATGCAACTCTCTTTTATTTTCTGACACCCATTACCAGTTCTGTATTCACTAATGTATGGTGGGCCAATGCTCCTGGGGTGGATAGTACAGAAAATGCTGCTTTTAAACAGATGCATAAAGGATACTCTCCCAGCTCCGGGTGACCCAGTTCCTACCTCTGGCATTGGGTCCTCACATTTAGTACTGCTCTGCGTCTCTCAGTGTTTTCCTCCCAAATGACCTCCCACTAGAGGGGAGTGAGTCCCCAGGTATTATCAAGGGAAACAGTCTCAGGAGTGCCTTTTCCTCTCCAGCCCCAAATATCTGTGATGTTAACAGTGTTTTAAAACTTACTTTGAATTTATTATCTTTTCATTATCTCTATCAAAACAAAAAATTAAAACCCCCTCCCAAGGGCAAAAGCCTTGTCCTGTGTTCCTATTTATTAAATGTGCCAAAAAGTGTTCATTTATTTGTTGAGTGATAGACCCAAGTTTATTTTTTAAGAGAGATTTTTTTCTATAGGGCATGTGCACTCACCCTGAGAGACAGAGAGAGAGAAAGAGACAGAAAACAAGAAATCACCCCTCAGAAGGATGGCCACGTCGCAATCCCTTCTCTTCCATTCTCCTCTTGAGATTTTGGATACACATGCACATGTGCCCAGCATTGAGTTTTAAGCTGCCAGGTCCAAGTCTTGAACCATGGGAGTTCAATGATATGACCAATATGTCCTCTGTTGGTCCCCAAAATTTACTTTTTTTTTTCCCCAAATTTACTTTTAATATGGAGCTAGCATTTTAGAGTATCTGCCACATTTCAGTACTGAATAATGTGGCCCATGTATGAAGTGTCCAGTGATTTATTCTTGGGCTTCTCTTGTGCTTTTCTACATCCTTATTTTACCTAGGGGTACAAGTTTCCCTTTTAAGTAACACAGAGAGGCACAGAGGCACAGAAAGTAGATTAGGGTGAAATTCCTTATTTCAGTAAACGTGGACTTTTCCTAGGGTAGGAAAATCCTCTGTTTCTTGTAGTCACAAAACTCAGGCAAAGGCTGTTTCACCATAGACTGGAGGTTTTTTGTTCTTTCTCCCGGCTTCCTCAAATTTTTTTGGTGAATTCCTGCTTACCCGTTTAGACCCTGAGAAACCACAGTAATATTTGTTTGTTTGTTTTTTGGGATTTTTTTTTTTTTTTTGGAGAGGTTTTTGCTATAGGGCGCATATGCTCGCCAGAGAGACAGAGAGACAGAGAGATGGAAAGCAAGAAATCACCCCCCCGAAAGGGGATGACCACACAGCAATCCCTTCTCCTCCATTCTCCGCTAGGTATCTTGGGCATGCATGCACATGCGCCCAGCATGAGTTTTAGTCACCAGGCCTGGGACTTGAACCATGGTTGCCTACATGGGAGTCCAGCGACATAGCCATTACACCAACTGTTGGTCCTTCCACAGTAATATTGAAAGGGGTATATTTAATTATCTTATTTACTTCTTAGTGTCTTTATTTCTTGGTGTGT